TTCATTTTTGCTTTTTGCTTTTCCCCTTTTGCTTGCCTTCCTTCCTTCCTTCCTTCCTTCCTTCCTTCCTTCCTTCCTTCCTTCTTTCCTTCCCCTCCTCCCTCCCACCTTCTTCCTCCTTCCCTCTTTCTTCCCCTCTTCCCTTCTTCCTTACTTTCTTGCCTTCTTTCCTCCTTCCTTTCTTCTTCCCTCCTTTCTTCCCTGCTGCTGCTTTTTATTAGTTTCTGCTGCTTTTTATGAGTTTCGTAAGACATCAATAGAAAAATTACACATACTGTATAAAAAAAACGCAGAAAGTTTACGTTTGGACCAATGGCTCAAAAAAAAAAAAAAAAAAAGCCCATTGAATTCCAGAATCCTAATTTTTGCACATGCCTTCCGTGCCTCCCCCCCCCACTCCTTCCTTTTCAATCCTTTCACTTTTGTGAAATCTGGGGCCATCGTTTTTGCTGGAGCTTCTTTTCCCTACAAACTGTCCTGCAATCCTCAAAACAGAGAGGCTTTATTTTTCAGAAGGAACATGGATAGAACTCCACATAATGCCCACATTACAAAAAAGATGTTGAGACTTTGGAAAAAAGTGCAAAGATGATTAAAGGGCCTGGAGATAAAACAGTTGAAGAGCGGTTGCAGGAACTGGGTATGGCCAGTCTAGAGAAAAGAAAGTCTAGGGGTGACCTGATAGCAGCAGGGGTGGGGCTGCTGGGGGTTCGCAGGGGTTCGGGAGAACCTCTAGCTAAGATTCTGTGCAGTTCAGAGAACCCCCAAATCCCACTCCTAGCTGGCTCCACCCACCCCGCCCTTCCCCTCCCAGGAGTCCCCACGCGGCCCATTTTGGATGCAGGTAAGTGCAGGGTATATATGGAAGCTCAGGTAGGGCGAAAAACGGGCCTACTGGAAGTTTGGGAAGGCCAGAAATGGGCCTAGAGGGCCTCTGGAGCCTGGGGAGGCTATTTTTGTCCTCCCGGAGGCTTGAGGAAAGCCTCTGGAGCCTGGGGAAGGCAAAAACGCCCCCGCACCGCCATGTTGCAGGAGGCCAACTAGGCCATAGCCACACCTACCTAGCAACCAGGCAGAGAACCCCTTGCTAAAATTTTTGAAGCCCACCCCCGGATAGCAGTCTTCCAATATTCGAGGGGCTGCCCCAAAGAAAAGGGAGGGGGGGTCACCCTACTCTCCAAAGCACCAGAAGGCAGGACAAGAAACAATGGATGGAAACTCATCAAGGAGAGGAGCAACCTGGAATGGAGGAGAAACTTCCTAATAGTGAGGACAATTAACCAGTGGAACAGAAGTTGGCTCTAGAAGTTGTGGGTGCTTCATCACTGGAGGCTTTCAAGAGGAGCCACTTGTCTAAAATCGTATACAGTCTCCTGCTTGGGCAGGGGGCTGGACTAGAAGACCTCCAAGGTCCCCTCCAGCTCTATTCAAATTGATTAATTGTGGTTAATAAACTGGCTCTGAGGAAGACAGCGAGGGGTCCGTGTTTGTGTGGTTAAGTCTCCGTCTTGTGAAAGGGGCTAAATACAGTCTTAATACTGGGAACGTGCTTCGGGAACCGGCCATTATCTCCCTGTTTCCTTTCTAAAACTCCCCGAAACATGTCCCTGCCTGCTGCTAAGAAGGAGGCCGCTGAAAAAAGAAAAGTCTTTTGCTCTGATCTAATTCCTGTGCGATTACTGCCTTTTATATGTCCACCGTTGATTCCAGCCCCTCGCAGGTCTTGTACGCCTCTTTGTTGAAACCGTGTCTCTCTCCGAAGAATCTTGACACCACAACACGGGCTAACAATTACACCAGACACCTCTTCTGCTTCTTCTTCTTCTTCTTCCCAACCTGTCCCGGCGTCCCTTGTTCCTCGAAATAGGTCATGCTTAAGTTCACCAGATTGAACTAGCTCCAGCATAAACACCTTCTCCGCCAGCGAAAGCCTGCAGCTGGCGGATCCGAGGATAATAAGGACCACAATCCTTTGTCTCATCTTTTGTCGATGGGGTCCCGTTCATGCCACTTGTGGCTGGCCCTGACGGCCTCCCTCCCCTCCTCTGCCCCCTCCCCACTTTGGCAGGTAGGGTGACCTCCCCTCCGCCCCCGAAGCCCTCCAGCTTCAAAACATTTCTAATTTCGTTCTTGCAATCGGAAAGGCGTTGGAATTTATCCTTCGGGAGACGTGGAGGACCCATCACGCTAGGCTCGTTGAGGGCTGAATGGGACTCTGAGACTCTCCTAGCTTTGGCGAATTGAATAACCCGCAGCATTGATTGTATTCCTGTTGATGGCTTTGGGTTCCCCCGTGATCTCTTATCAGCAGTAATGTCAGCAATCGCAGCATCCTTTTGGCTCCTTCTGTTGCATCCTGGGGTCTGCATCCCCTTACCTGTGTTGTTTGTTTCCCTCACATAAACAGACAGCAAACAGCACTGATGATGTTACCTAGTTAGGTAATTAAATGTCTACAAAAAAATAAGCAAGATCAGAGAGCACCAAGGACCCTACAGTTCCACCTCCTCCTCCTCCTCCACCTCCTCCTCCTCCTCCTCCTCCTCCTCCTCCTCCTCCTTCTCTCTGGTTAGCCAATGAAATGTCTGCAAAAAAATAAGCACGATCAGAGAGCACCAAGGACCCCACAGCCCCATCCTCCTCCTCCTCCTCCTCCTCCTCCTCCTCCTCCTCCTCCTCCTCCTCCTCCTCCTCCTCCTCCTTCTCTCTGCAAACGCCATTCCCTTCTAGCACTGATGATGTTCCCTAGTTGGGTCAAGAAACATCAGCAAGAAAACCAGAAACCTCAGAGAGCACCGAAGCCCCCACATTTCAATCCTGAGCTATAAATATTCCCCTTTATTCGTTTCCCTCATTCTATAAACGTCTTACTTTGGGGCATTGTGTATTTTTTTTTTCCTGGTGAAATACATTTTTAAAAATGATTTCAAAGATTTGGCCTGCCTCGTAGCGTTTTGGCTCCCTGATGCTCCAAGGACTAACCTTTTGAGATTTTTTTTTTTTCAAAATTAAATTCAGCTGTCCATAGGATAGTCTCAAAGTGACCCATATTTGCACCTCTTATGGGAATAAAAGGCATTTTTGATTGATGGTTTTAATGATTAGTCAGGATAGATTATAAAAAGGAGAAGTTATGATGTAATTTGAGAGGGAGAGGTTAGGATATAATCGTACTTATAACTGTTGTGAAGAATATTGGAAGCTGCTTCTTTATATCTTTCTCTTTTTTCCCTCTTTTCTCTTTTTTATTGCATTAGTAGCTTTTCCTGTTATTTCTCTTTTTCAATTTCTCATTTAATTTCGCTTGTATTAGGTCATTATTATTTTAAAAACTTTTTATAAAAGGATAGCTAGATAGATAGATAGATAGATAGATAGATAGATATTAGATAGATAGATAGATAGATAGATAGATAGATAGATAGATAGATAGATAGAGGATGGATATTAGATAGATAGATAGATAGATAGATAGATAGATAGATAGATAGATAGATAGATAGATAGATAAGGATATGGATGGACGGACAGACAGACAGACAGATCTGGGCTTGCAAGATCTCCTTTTAGCAATACAGGTAGTCCTCTCCTTACAACAGTTCATTTAGTGACCATTCGAAGTTACACTAACAGAACTGAAAAAAGGGACTTATGACCGTTTTTCACACTTACGACCGTTGTGGAAATTTTGAGTAGTTTGGAGAACCAGTAGTAAAAATTCTGACTGGCCCCGCCTCCATCTATTCTCTGCCTCCCAAGTCCCAGCTGATCGGGAGGAAATGGGGATTTTGCAGTAACCTTCCCCTGCCATGCCCACCAAGCCACACCCACAGAACCGGTAGTAAAAAAATTTTGAAACCCACCACTGATCCAAAGGCATCATATGTGCCCTTCCAGCTTTCTCTTTCACCTTTTCTTTTTCCCTTCCTTCTCTCCCAGATATTATAACCAAGGAAGAATTCTTCAGGAGGCACTCCACGGAGACAATCATCTACTCACGGGAAAAAAATCCGCACACTTACGAATGTATTTTCCCAGCAAATCTTGAGGCCGTGGCTGCCAAGGTAGGTTTTCCAATCCTTTTGCAACGTAGGTCACACAATACGCGCAGTTGGCATCCAATGGAAGGGAAGAACATTTATTCCCCCCGTGTGGTTTCTTTGTTGGTTGTTTTCCTTTTCTTGGGTGCAAAAATCATCATGGGCCATGTTGTGTAGTCCCCTGTTCTGTTATCCAGCATGCGATGGCACGGTGGGCCCAGTCGGCCTGTTTTTTGCCCTCCCCAAGCTCTAGAGGCTTTCTAGGAGCCTGGGGAGGGCAAAAACAGCCTTCCCCACTCCCCCCCCGGAGGCCCTCCGGAGGCTGGAAACGGCCTGTTTGCCAACTTCTGCTGGGACCGGAAGGCCTGAAAATCAGCTGGCCAGCACATGCATGTGTGCCAGAGCTGAGCTCGCATGCCCACCAATATGGCTCCATGTGCCACCTGTGGCACGTATGCCATAGATTCGCCATCACGGCCCTATCCCATTTCAGACAAGTGGCTGTGCAGTCTCTTCTTAAAAACTTCCAGTATTGGAGCACTCACAACTTCTGGAGGCAAGTTGTTCCACCGATTAATTTTTTCTAAATATCAGGAAATTTCTCCTTCGTTCTAGGCTGCTTCTCTCCTTGATTAGTTTCCATCCGTTGCTTCTTGTCCTGCCCTCAGGCGCTGACAAGGGGAAAATACTTTCCAAATATGCCTGTTAACATAAATTTACAAAAAAAAAAAAAGACAGAAGTAGTATTCCTGCCCATGCATCTTGTCTGGACTACCTCGCAGGGCTAACTTCGGACCTGGACTAGGAACAGGAAGAGGCAGGTTCAGATTTTCCCCAGTCATGAAGCGCATAGATGGTCTCGGGGAGGGTGAAAGGAAGTTCTTGCTGGTGCCACAGTGCTACTTAAGAGAAGATTTCTAAAATCTTTTTGACAATCTGGAAGGCCATCGTCTGCCCTTGATGAAAAACCAGCCGTATCAGAGGCACAAATCAAGGGATTCCAATTTATCTGATCCTGTTGGAGATGGTGTGGGCCTAAATCCGCCCCCCCCCCCCCCCCCCCCCCCCCCCCCCGCCCCCATACATGATGTACTTAACCGAAGTCCTTTTCCTGACTTTGTGTTTACAGAACAAACACTGCCTGCTCGAACTCGGCATCGGCTGCACCAAAGATTTAATCAAAGCCAAGATATATCCCATTGTTCTCTTTATTAAAGTCTCCGAAAAAAATATCAAGAAATTCAGGTACGTCGGTCGCGTCGAAAAGAGGGACGGGCGAGAGGAAGGAAATAGAGAGAGGCTTTGCCTCGTGCCGAAATACAGGGCTCTCAAAACGGCTGCATCAGGGGTGAAATCCAGCAGGTTCTGACAGGTTCTACAGAACTGGTAGCGGAAATTTTGAATAGTTCAGAGAACCGACAAATGCCACCTCAGGCTGGCCCCAAAGTGGGGAGGGAATGGGGATTTTGCAATATCCTTCCCGCTGGAGTGGGGAGGGAATGGGGATTTTGCAGTATCCTTCCCCCAGGAGTGGGGAGGGAATGGAGATTTTGCAGCATCCTTCTCCCTGGAGTGGGGAGTGAATGGAGATTTTGCAGCATCCTTCTCCCTGGAATGGGGAGGGAATGGAGATTTTGCAATATCCTTCCCCCAGGAAGTTTCCTAGTATGGTTTGATTGCTTATTTAGTATCCTCTGACTATCATTAAGTCTTGCATCTTATGATTCTTGACGAACGTATCTTTTCTTTGATGTACACTGAGAGCGTATGCACCAAAGACAAATTCCTTGTGTGTCCAATCACACTTGGCCAATAAAGAATTCTATTCTGTTCTGTTTTGGGGAGAGAGAAAAAAATATGATGTGAAGATGAATTTGAGGAAAAAACAGGGGTGAAATGCTCCCGGTTCGGACCGGTTCGGAGAACCGGGAGTGATGGTGGGCCGAGGCTCCGCCCACCCGCCCAGTTGTTGTTACTTCCTGGTTTTAACCAGGAAATAACCTGTTATTTACCCTCTGCACATGCGCAGAGGTCCGCGCACGCAACGCATGTACTTTCAAACCGGTTGGGAAGGTAAGTAGATTTCACTCCTGTGAAGAAGGCAAAAAAACCACCCACAACCCTTGTCGCAATTGATGATTTAAAATCCGGGCTGGCAGTCGGTGCCAATGCTGGGAAACGACACCTTTTCTGTGTTGTGGCTGGCAGATCTATAATCAGCAACACATCTGGAAGGCACAGGGTAGGTAAGGCTGCCATATGTTCCCGGCCTTTCAGATGTTATGCTTGGCTTGGATGACTCAGAATCAACATTTGGCAAGGAATTCCTTTTTCTACCTGTTGGCCCTTGGAGGAGGGAAGTTTGCATGATAATCATTCAAATAAAATTACAAGCTAGAAACCTTTGAGAGAACAAAATCTTGTGGAGAAAAATGAAAACTAGAAAGCTCTTTCTTTGTTTGTTTTTTTCTTTTTTTCTTTCTTTTTCTTTCTCTCTCTTTCTTTCTCTCTCTCTCACTCCTACCCTCTTTCTTCTTTCTTTCTTTCTTTTTCTTTTTCTTTCTCTCTTTCTTTCTCTCTCTCTCTCACTCCTACCCTCTTTCTTCTTTCTTTCTTTCTTACTCTTTCTTTCTTTCTTTCTTTCTTACTCTTTCTTTCTTTCTTTGTTTCTTTGTTTGTTTCTTTTTCTTTTTCTTTCTCTCTCTTTCTTTCTCTCTCTCACTCACTCCTACCCTCTTTCTTCTTTCTTTCTTTCTTTCTTTTTCTTTTTCTTTCTTTCTTTCTCTCTCTCTCACTCCTACCCTCTTTCTTCTTTCTTTCTTTCTTTTCCTTCCTTCCTTCCTTCCTTCCTTCCTTCCTTGCTGAATTGCAATCCTATGAACTGAAACCGATGCAATTTGTAAGCACAGGTCAAAAATTTAAGTGTGTAAATGGGATGGTTGCACTCACGGGTAGTCTGGATTTATGACCGTTCATTTAACAAGGGTTCACACAGTTATGACAGTCTTGGAAAATGTGATTTACGATCTGGACTCACACTTGAAACCATCATACCTCCCCCACAATGTGACTGCCATTCAGGCACGTGGCCACTGTCTCCCAGTTACAACTGGTTGCAGCGCCCTGCCGGCATGTGATTGCAATTTGTTTGCCTATTTTGGCCAAAAATCCCTTGGGGATGCTGGATTCACTTAATGACTATGTGATTTGCTTAACAACCATCATGTGGTTGTTCTGCCCCAGCTACGGACCCCAAAGAACGCAGCACACACAAAGTCCGTTCAAACCTTAGTTTACTAAATAAACCAGTCTTTTACAACAACGGCTGTTAATTAATTGCATTAACAGCCGCCAAGAATTCAAAGAATAATAACTGAAAGCTTACTATGGTTGGCAGAATGCCCAGAAGCAATTTGCAGGAAGCTGATAAGATAAGCAAGACAAGACACGAAGGTATGTG